AATCTGCGTCACAGTTCAGTAAGTTGTAGACTGTTTTTTTCTCTCTCATTTTATACTTCAGGAAAATGAGGTATAGAAAGCCTTACTCAGTAAAGGTTGCACAGAGTAATAGGGCAAGGATTTGTTTGGTTCCAGAGGCTGTGCTCTTTACCTAGCTTAGCATCTCTCAAATTTATTTATTTATTTTAAAATATTTATTTTTTAGTTGTAGTTGGAGACAATACCTTTATTTTGTTTATTTATTTTTATGTGGTGCTGAGGATCGAACCCAGGGCCTCGCACATGCTAGGTGAGCACTCTGCCACTGAGCCACAACCCCAGCCCCAGCATCTCTCAAATTTAAATGTCACTTTTATCATTAGCCTATGTTAATGGCACATGCCTAAATTCTCATTATAATCACAGCTTTATTTATAATTGTGAAATTGAAAATTACTTAAGGGCCAGATATGGTGGTACATACCTGTAATGCCAGGTATTTGGGAGGATTTCAAGGATTTCAGGTCAGGCTGGGCAACTTAACAAGACCTTGTCTCAAGATAAAAGATAAGAAGAGCTGGGGAGGTAGCTCAGTGGTAGAGCGCCTTGGGTTCAATCTCCAGTACCACACACACAACACACACACACAAAAAAAAAAAAAGAAAAAGGTAGATCTATATGTTAAACAGTCATTAAAAATCACATTTATGACTGGATTTGGTGGTTCATACCTATAACCCCAGTGACTTGGGCGGCTGAGGCAGAAGGATAGCAAGTTCAGGGCCAGCCTCAGCAATTTAGGAAGGCCTTAAGCAACTTAGCGAGACCCTGTCTCAAAATAAAAAAGAAAAAGGGCTGGGGATGTGACTCAGTTCGTAAGTAGCCCTGGGTTCAATTCCCAGTACCACCACCCTCCAAAAAACCCCACATTTCTGAAAAATACTTATTAATATAGAAAAGTAAGATGTTGAAAATATAATACACAATGGAATATTATTCAGCAGTAAAAGAAATAAAATTATGGCATTTACGGGTAAATGGATGGAGTTAAAGAATATCATGCTAAGTGTAGTTAGCCAATCCCCAAGAAACCAAAGGCCAAATGTTTTCTCTGATAAGTGGATGCTAATCCCTAATGGGTGGGGGAGGAGAATGGAATGAGTGGAGGAACTTTGAGGCAAAGGGAGTAGGAAAGATGATGGAATGAGACGGACATCTTTACCCTAGGTACATGTATGATTGCACAAATGGTGTGACCCTACTTTGTGTACCACAAGAGATGTGAAAAATTGTGCTCTGTTTGTATACAATGAATTGAAGAACATTCTACTGTCATATATATAACTGATTAGAACAAATAAATATTATGTGCATATGTTACATATACATAAACAAGTATGCAAATGTTTGTTTTCAAAGTCTGGAAAGAAGTATAATAGTGATTCTTTACGAGTAGTATGATTGTGAGAAATTGAGTTTTTAAAAAACAACGTTTGTGGGCTACTTGCCATGTGCTGGGCATCCTATTAAATTCTTTATGTGTGTTTTCTCAGTTAACTCATTAATCCTACGATGTAGGTACTCTTCATCTTTTAGATGAAGAAACTGAGGCCTAGAAAGATTAAGTAACTTGTTTAAGGTGATGCAACCAGTAAGTAAAAATGCTGGGAACACTACATTAGATTTTTTCTGTTTATTTTTTTTTGATTTTTTTATTTGTTTTAATTAGTTATACATGACAATAGAAGGCATTTATTCACTTACGGGATATAATTTCTCATTTTTCTGAGTGTACATGTTGTTGAATCACATTGGTCATGCAGTCGCATATATACATAAACTAATAATGTCTGTTTTGTTCTATTATCCTTCCTATCCCCATATCCCCTCCCCTTCCCACCTTTCCTTTCCCTCTACCTAATCTAAGGTAATGCTATTTTCTCTAGTGCCCCCTGCCCTGCCCCACCTTATTGTGATTTAGCATCTGTATTAGGGAAAACATTTGGCCTTTGTTTTTTGGGATTGGCTTATTTCGCATAGAATGACATTCTCCAACTCCATCCATTTACTGGCAAATGCCATAATTTCACTTCATTCTTCATTAAAGCTGAGTATATTCCTATATATATATATATATAGGAATATACTCAGCTTTTTATATATATATGTGTGTGTATATATATATATATATATATATATATATATATATATATAATCACATTTTATTTATCCATTCATCTATTGATGGACACCTAGGTTGGTTCCATAGTTTAGCTGTTGTGAATTGAGCTGCTGTAAACATTGACATGGCTGCATTACTGTAGTATGCTGATTTTAAGTCCTTTGGGTATAAACAAGGAGTGGGAGAGCTGGGTCAAATGGTGATCCATTCCAAGTTTTCTGAGGTATCTTCATACTGCTTTCCATAGTGGTTGTACCAATTTGCTGTCCACCAGCAATGTGTGAGTGTACCTTTTCCCCAACATCCGCGCCAATGTTTATTGTTGCCTGTATTCTTGATGATTGCCATTCTGACAGGAGTGAGATGAAATCTTGATTTGTATTTCTCTAATTGCTAGAGATGTTGAACACTTATTCATACGTTTGTTGGTCGATTGTGTTTCTTCTGTGAAGTGTCCTTTTTCTGTTTTATATTGTCTAAACTTTTAATAATTTGCCTGGCTTACATGATCAAGATCAAAGTTAATTTTTAAATTTATGCAAGCATATTGGAAACTACAATAAGCCAGGATTATACAGTCTGATGAATAGTACACATCTGATGAATAATAATGAATTTATTCATTTGAACCATTTGTACCTTAAACTAACTGCAAAATAACAGAAGTATGGGACTTGAAAGAAATTAGATCAAGAATTTAAAAAGTTAAACATAACCAGTGGTTTCTGTTCTCTAAAGAATTTTTTTTAAACTGTCTACTATGGGGAATGATTTATTTGTTATGATGGGTTGCAGCTAGTATACTTTAGTGAAGTGAAATCTGGTGCTTATGTTATAGGGTAGTTAGCATATTGATAAGGCTGAGTATTTTTGTAACTATATTCAAGAACCCCTTAACTATTTTTGTTGTGGTTTTTAGTAGTTCCCTTTGTCTTGTTGGATTCCAGTGAAGTAAATGTGGACAAATACTCAAAGGAAAAGATTTTTTTGTGTGTAAATATGTGTATTGTCTCCATCAGTCTATGAGGATTTATATATATATATATATCATTGACAAATATGTTTAGTGAGAGTCATAGATGTTCATTGACCATCTACAATCTTCAAGAATAACATCAGTCACTGGTTGGGGTTGTGGCTCAGTAGTAGAGCGCTTGCCTAGTATGTTCAAGGCACTGGGTTTGATCCTCAGCACCATTTATTTATTTATAAAAATAAATAAATAAATAAATAGAGGTATTGTGTCTATCTACAACTAAAAAAAATTAACAAAAAAAGAATAACATCAGTCATAGATGACAACAGTGTGTCATATTAATTATCCCATTGTCTAAGAGTGAAAAGTAAGCTAAGTGGATCAGTGATGGACTGTGCAACCTATTTCACATATGTTTACAGTTAAGAGGGTTTGGAATTTGAGAATATGTGTTGTAGCAGGAAAACATGGCTACTTAGAAATTTTTTTTCTAAAGAACTTTTATAGAATTCTTCCTCTGCTGGAAAGTTAATTTTGGGATACTACATGGAGAATAAGAGAGAAATGTTCACTTAACTCATATCTGTTATAAAGATGAATAGGCCTTGTCTGCTGAGAGTAGACTTAATGTAAAAGTGAATAAGTGAGTGAATGTGTGTGTAAAGCATACATATGCACATACAAATATGACCCAGTATCTATGAAATAGAGAACAGGACGTGTGGTAAATTGGGTCAAAAGCAAGAATATGTGAGAAGGGACCTCAGAAAGTGGATTGCTCCCTTTTAATTATGTAAAGTTACTAAAAACTGAGAGGGGATCAATTTGTTTCTGTCACTAAAGAAAAGTGGTAAGGGCTGGGGTTGTGGCTCAGCGGTAGAGAGCTCACCTCTCACGTGCAAGGCCTAGGGTTTGATCCTCAGCACCAAATAAAAATAAATAAATAAAATAAAGGTATTTTGTTCAACGACAACTAAAAAAAATAAATATTAAAAAAAAAGAGAAGTGGTAAACATTTCTCTTTAGATGTAACTCTTCTCAAGCTGTCCTTTTTTTTTTTTTTCATCTTTTTAAAATCCAGTGAAAATAATTTAAACATTTTGTATCATTCTATTTGTTAACCTGGGTAATCCATGCTTTCCGCTGTAAAACTTATCACAATACAGTGTAACAGAAGGAAATTCTTTTCCTGGCTCTGTTCCATGATGGGCTCTTCACTTCTGAGTAATCACTGCCTTAGTTTTAGCACAGAAAGTCCCACATACTAGGAAATCCTGCAGTACTGGATAAACTGAAACAGTTGATCATCCTAATCCTAAAGGTGAATATTACACTCTGGGGATGGGAATTGGGGTAGGAGGATATGGATGAAAATGAAAAGTCCTGAGATATAAAGAGAACATATTTTTCTTTGGAAGAATGTTTATTATAGCTAAGAAAATGCAGAAGTCAGTAAGCCAGTATTGATGTGTTTGATTGCTGTGTTTCAGATGATATGTTTGGTTCTACATCCTTCATGTAAAAAACAAATTGGGAAATAAGAGGAATGCTATAAAGATTTTAAGCCTCCTTGAACATAGAATGTCCTGCCTTTAGTGGAGGGTTTTGGATCTAAGAGATATTCTTTCCTGCTCAAGGAAATGTTTTTTTAGTAAGTGGAGATGTGAATATATTTATTTCCAAATATAGGACCTTTATGCAATTACAGACCTTTCTGTACACCATCTGTCCATATCTATAATGAATATTAAGTGTGAAATGCTCTGTAGCATACCTGGCAGACCAGTGTTGGGTTTTCCTTTTGCCTTGGTGGCAAACTAATCTTTTCTCCCTCAGTCTTGTTCTTGGTTTCTTACCTTACAGAGAGGTGTGGGAAATGGAACTGGATAGACTCAAGAATCAGGATGGTGAAATAAATCGGAACATTATGGAAGAGACAGAGCGGGCCTGGAAGGCAGAGGTGAGAGGAGCTAATATCTTGAAAGCCTTGGTTTTGGCCTTCCAGATGGTACATACTTTTGGTATAATATCAGAAGAGCCAGTGGGCGCTTGTTTTAACTATCTAGGGGTATTTGTGTATGAAAAATTAATGAAGTGTATGTATATGTGTGCATGTGTGATTTCTTTAGATCTTATCACTAGAAAGCCGGAAAGAGTTGCTGGTATTGAAATTAGAAGAAGCAGAAAAAGAAGCAGAACTGCACCTTACTTACCTCAAGTAAGTACCTTCCCATTCTAAGGTTTAGTAGCTCTGTAGTTTGTTTGTTTTAGTTTTTTAAAACTCTAAGCCAGCAGATCTGGCACTTATTCTTTCTTCACAGGGATTTGAAGCCATCTCAGTGCAGTAATAATTAAACAGTGATTTCTCTCCTGTATTCTAAACTCCTGCACTGTTTAAATCCTCCCCCCTACAGTTTCATATCTTTGTACTTTTTATTTCATTGTTTCCATTTGAATAAATAGAACCTGTTAAGCTATCAAAGCATAACAAAGGTCTTAGGAGATTTATTTCTTATATGGTCATTTCTCTTCTTTATGCTATGGAATTTGGATGCCTCTTGTGACATTTTAAGGTGGACAAGAACCCCCTTTGTGGTTGATCCTCTTTTCCAAATCTTTGGCTTAAAAGTCGATGGAGTTTAGATTCTCAGGCTCTCATACCTTCTCTCATACCTTTCTCTCAAGGTTCATTACCCAACTACTATTTTGCTATCTTGGAGATTTAAAATTTGATTCTGTAAATTACTCTTGTTTCTTGAAAGGTCAACTCCCCCAACACTGGAGACAGTTCGTTCCAAGCAGGAGTGGGAAACTAGACTAAATGGAGTTCGGATAATGAAAAAGAATGTTCGGGTAAGTGATAGTGGGTGATCATTTGATCAGCATTAATTTATGTTTTTTTTTTTTTTTTTTGGTGCTGGGGATTGAGCCGAGGGCCTTGTGGATGCTGTGCAGGCACTCTACCAACCAAACTACATTCCTGGCCCAGGAGGTAGCCTTTTTTGTGTAGCCACTGGGGCCTGTCTCACCACTTCCTGTTTTCCTGTTAATTAAAGGTGTGCTTTTTGCAGAGACTCACTCATCTCAGAAGTAAAGTATGATCCTTTCTTCTCCTTTCATCTAGGACCAGTTTAACAGTCATATCCAGCTAGTGAGGAATGGAGCCAAGCTGAGCAGCCTTCCTCAAATTCCTACCCCAACTTTGCCTCCACCCCCATCAGAGGTAAGAGAATCTTTGAAGGGGTCTACATTTCTGTGTTGGTGGCAGAGTCAGAGTCTTCTACTTCTTTTTATGAAGATATTGGGACCATCCCTATTTAGTGTAAGGGTTGTTCATTGATTTCTGTTTCAGTTTCCTAAACTTTCTTCCATTCTCTTGTCCTTTGCATCTTCCCATTTGCAGACAGACTTCATGCTTCAAGTATTTCAACCCAGTCCCTCTCTGGCTCCTCGGATGCCCTTCTCCATTGGGCAGGTCACAATGCCCATGGTTATGCCCAGTGCAGATCCCCGTTCCTTATCTTTCCCAATCCTGAACCCCACCCTTTCCCAGTCTAACCAGCCTTCCCCACCCCTTCCTGGCTCCCATGGGAGAAATAGCCCTGGCTTGGGTTCCCTTGTTGGCCCCCATGGTCCACACATGCCCCCTGCCGCCTCCATCCCGCCTCCCCCAGGCTTGGGCGGTGTTAAGGCTTCTACTGAAACTCCCCGGCCCCAACCAGTAGACAAACTGGAGAAGATCTTGGAGAAGCTGCTGACTCGGTTCCCACAGTGCAATAAGTAAGTATCTTAAAGGATTAGTTAAAACATCTTTGTCAGAGAAATGCTTATGGTTTGTAATAGGGGAGATTTCATAGGTGTTTCCCCAGGGGTGTAGCATAGAATCTCTCTCCCTCTCCTTCAACATTTGTCTTTCTTAGGGCCCAGATGACCAACATTCTTCAGCAAATCAAGACAGCACGTACCACCATGGCAGGCTTGACCATGGAGGAACTGATCCAGTTGGTAGCTGCACGACTGGCCGAACATGAGAGGGTGGCAGCAAGCACTCAGGTGAGAAAAGCTGCCTGGAAAGAGCTGAGGCCTCCTGAGAGGTTGGAGAAGAGACAGACTTTAAAGATTCTGGGTGGGAAGAAGCATTACAGCCTGAGTGTCTTGTCTGTTTTCTTGCTTTGCTGAACTTGGAAGTAAATGATTTCTTTTTTGCTATATGTACTGTTAATCACTCTTCCTTACCCTGAAATTGTTTCTACCCACAGCCACTTGGTCGGATCCGGGCCTTGTACCCTGCTCCGCTGGCCCAAATCAGTACCCCAATGTTCTTGCCTTCTGCCCAAGTTTCATATCCTGGGAGGTCTTCACATGTGAGACTCTTTTTCTTTTAACACTTGGATGTAGAGAAGCTGAGGGTAAGAAGTGGGTGGATTTATGGGAGGAGTGTAGGAGGAAACCAACATCTTGTCAGCTGTTTTGTTTATAGTCCTACTGGGAACATGGGAATACTTGAAGCAAGATCTGTATTTGTACTTTTATTTCTTTTGCATCAAATCATGGGCATAAAAGGAAAGGTGATCCAGAGATTCCTTACTTTGTGGCATGCAATCTCTGTCCTGCAGGCTCCCGCTACCTGTAAGCTGTGTCTGATGTGCCAGAAACTTGTCCAGCCCAGTGAGCTGCATCCAATGGCATGTACCCATGTGTTGCACAAGGAGGTGAGTAGCACATACTTTCTTTACTTTCTACTGTTTGTTTTCTGACAGCTGAGAAAAATTTTCTTGGATATTTTACTGGATTGATGCTCACTGTTAATGTCTAATCATAAGGTTTTCAGTAAATTGTAGCTTAAACATCAGCAGAATTCAGAATACTGCATCTGGGGTCTCCCAGCTTCTTTTTATCTAATTCCCTTTAGGGCACTGGGTAAGTAGTTCATACTAAGCCACTGATAAGTCACTTTCTTAGAAAATTGACTGTAAGAGGCAATCCTACGTATCTAACCATCATTTCAAATATAGTGTTATCAAGAGACTGCTTAGATGAGAGGAATAAGGAACCCAAATATGCAGTTAGTAGCTTCATTAATAGAGGAGCTTGAAGGACTGCCCATGAGAGATTACCTTCACTGACTGCCAAGTCATTTCTGTTTTCTTACATTACCAGGCAGAGGTAAATCTTTTAGCAGCAGGGATGATTTCTTCTTAACTATTTTGTTTTGCTTTTCCAAGAGGTAGAAACTGGATTGACAGCTAAATTCTTGGTAAGAAAAAGTCCTGAATAAGGTGATGGGTATTTCTGAGGGTGAGGTGAGTGTTAGATGAAAGCTCATCACAGATCAAATAGATCATAAGAAGTAGCAAGCCACATTTGATACTTAACAAAAAGCAACTTCATGAGTGCCCTTAATAGCCAAGTTCCTGGTCCTTGTAAAAAGGACAGGTTCATCTGCTCTGAAGATTCTTTTGAGAGTAAGAGCTATTGAAATAGCCTGTTTAGTCTCCCACAGAAAGAACTTTTTTGACTTAAATCTTGTTGAACTTTAATGGCACTCTCTTTTCCCTTCTCAGATAAATCTGAGATGTGTCTCTCTTTCTTTCCAGTGTATCAAATTCTGGGCCCAGACCAACACAAATGACACTTGTCCCTTTTGTCCAACTCTTAAATGATGGACCTGACTGGGGAGGAAGAAGAGGAAAACTGATGTGAACAGGAAGCGCGGGTTCAAGATTTCTAAAACTCTATATTTATACAGTGACATATACTCATGCCATGTACATTTTTATTATATAGGTAATGTGTGTATAGAAAGTCTGTATTCAAATGTTCGTAAATGAAAGTATGTATATTATGCAGAAACAGTTCGTTCCCCCTCATCTTGCAGTTCTTTTGGGGGTTACAGATTATAGGGAAGATGATGTTTAATTTGGCCTTGAAATGTGATATCCTTGCCTGGGGCTGTTATCAAATACATCTAGGAAGCTGCTGTTGCTCTGAGGCCATCCTGCTTGGGTTTGGCTCAGCCTGTAGTTCATTTCCTTAAGGCTCATGTATGCAGATTTGAAGCCTGGTGCTCACCTGCTGTCCAACCAGATGCCTTGCTTACTGAGAGCCTTTGCAAGCCTCAGTGTTGTTCTAGTCAGTCCACTTCAAATGAGTGAAATGAGACTCTCTGATTGAGGTAAAAAATGTAACCCTAATAGTTTGACTCTTCATTGAATATTTTACTGTGTTAATGCTCATTATTTATACATAGACATTAGGTTTACAGAATATTCTGTTTTACATCAGCAAAATTCACAGTCCAAGAATAACAACCACATAACCAAGTCCCATTTCCCCTGCCAGCTTCTGTCCAACCTATTTTCTGGATAGAAATTAGCACAACCCACAGGTTTTTCATGGGGTAAGCCATCCCTGGCTACCATTGGCTTGGCTTCTAGTCTAGTTCTGACAGGCCACCTTGTAAAGTCCTCACCCCTTCCATTTCACTCTGGTCTCCTAGTCTAGCTAACCCCCCTCCCCCCCGAAGGTTAAGGCAGTTGGTTCACAACCAAGTTGTTTGGTGACCTTGGGTGAGCTCCAGACAGGCACTGGGGTGAGGAGGTGTCTGTGCAAAATTACTTGCAGAATGATCTTGGGATGCTGGATTTTAATTTCCAAAGCAAGAAAAGTATGGGGGATGTGTTTCCTGTCCTGGGAAAAATGGAGACCAAAGTGATATGAAGAAGGGAGGTGGGATTTCACATTTATAAATCATTTGTTCTGTGAATAGCTATCTGGAACAAGATCATTTTTCCACCTCTGCTTACTGAGCACTTCTGGCTTTTAGGTTTTATACCTGGGAAGGCTGTGACTCTCTTAGAGCTTTGAATCTTTTCCTATCCTTTTATCTTTATTCCTTCAGGAAATGGCTTTTGCTCCCTTCTCTTTTAGAGTTAAGCAAGTAAAAACTGAGTGTTAATCCAAAAAAAAAAAAAAAAAGTCTCCAAAGGAAAGACATCATTATATTACTGGCAACTGATTTTTCCTGTTGTGGAACCTGGAAATGTCTAGCAATATGTGCCAGGGTGGCAAAGATGTTTCCTTTAGGATCCAACTAAATGCTCTCGTCTTGTTACCATTTTCCTTTTTTGTCTTTCATTCTCACCTATTAGCTCATGGATGAATTCTTCCTCTTTTCTCTTGCCTTATTTGCCCAGGTTTAAAGACCAGCATCAGTGTAAGAAGATGAACTTGCTGGGATCTTGTAGGGTGATTTAAATGGCCTGAGTACTCAACTCTTCAGAGGTCAGGTGACCTACTTTCTTTGCTTAATAAATATTACTGCCTCCAGTTTGGTACTGACATTACAGGAAAGGTGGCAAAATGGAAGACCAGTTCCTTTTTGTTCTTTTCATTTGGGAGGATTAAGTTTTTATCTTATAATCTTAAGATTTTCTTTCCCCTCAACTTTTTAGCGGCCTTGGGCTACCTGTAAAATCTTCTGGTGTCCCCAGAAAATTTAGAAATTAGAGATGGGTGTAAGGGATATTCTTTCTTTTCCAAAAAATCTTTTGAAGCCAAAGGAATAGAGAGAGAAGAAAGGAGGAATGAATGGATCAGGGGCTTAGCTGCTTTCCCAGTGAAAGCCCCTGGGAAGCCAACTCCAGCAGAGGGTGGTGGTTTCAGAGAGAGTTGTACATGGTGGCTAGGGCCTCATCATTGCTTTTTTTGTCTTCTTTGTTCAGGGTCAATCAGAAAGCAACACATTAGTTTTGGCCACCCCTGTTCTCCCTTCTCCCTCTGCCCACTGGCTTGTAGTGGTAAAAACCGTGCAGACCAAAGGCAAAGGCCCCCAATGCAGTGAATGGAGATGGGACAGTCATTTTTCAGAAGTAGAATTTAAAAATAGAGCTGTATAATACATATTTTTACAAGCAAGAAACTGTTGTCGAGATTTTTTTTTCACACTTAGAGTTCATAGTTTCAGTATAGTTAAAAGGAAGTAACTGTAAAAAGAAAAATAAGTGCAAGTTTTCTCTTAAAAAAAATAATAGGACAGTGGGACTTACTAATGAATGGGTTAAGTTGTATGCCCTGGAAAGAGCTGGGGAAAAGCCAGTTTCCCCAACATGGGTGGAAATTATAAAGCAGAATGTAGCATTTTCATTTCATGGTAGCAGTTCTAGAAGTTTATTTACACAGTAAGTTCTGAGCTGGAAGTGGACAGTCTCCAGTCTTCCTGTCAAGTCGTTATAGGTGTGGAACGTTCCCAGTCAGCCAAAGCAGCACCAAGTGCAGTGGGAGTGAAGAGAACCCAGATAAAAAAACTGTGACTCAGTATTTTTGTTTTATTGGTTTATGGCTTGTGGACAACTGGCAGAGGCCAGCAACTCCAGAGGCCCTCCTTATATTTCCCTCTCCCTCATCAAATAATTCTCTACTTGCTAGGTACCCTGCCTGGCAGCAGTGTGTAGACTGGATAGGATGCAGTGGGTATACTGGGAAAACTCAGCTCTTCCCACTAACACTGGTATCATAGTCTAGTGTGTTAGAACTGATAGGGAGAAAATGAACTTGGTCCCCACTGCCTAACCCAAGAACCAGCCTGGGTACCCATGGGAGTGGGGAGCAGAAAGCAGGATAGGAGAAAGGACAGCCTCCAACACAGGAAAAGTGGTGAGGAAAATAAGGAAGCCTGAGGCTGCCATCCTTTCTCCAAGCAGCCTTGACATCGAAGGCAGTGGCTTAGAGCCAGAAAGCCCTCGATTGCTGACAGTCATAGTATAATACTAGCCAGTGTGTGAAGTCTTAGCCAAATAAGTAGAGGGGCCATTAGAGAAGCAAAGGAAACAATAAAACCACTCAGTATTAATCTAATGATCTTACCACTTCTTACAGCTAGACAGGAAGAAATCTGGGCAGAGGTATAAGGCATCACTCCTATACCTGTTGAATGAATCTTCAGGATTCTGCTTTTAAGGATTAGATAGGAGAGGCCTTCTCTCTGTTCCTTTTAGCACCTCTGCTGCAAAGCTCCAGAGCAATAGGGGCCTTGGGGAGGGAGTGAACCTGTGACCAGGAAGATAATGCCCAGCCTTGTTAAACTCCAGTTCCTCTCCCCTAGGGCACCTGGGGCTTTGGGGTTTGGGGTGTTTCACTACCACCTATCATACATAGAGGAAAGGGGTCAGGAAGAGACAAGTGGAATTAAGGTAGAAATTATTTTGTTAAGTGGAACTTCTTCATGGGCACTTTTTAATCAAGAGAGCTTTAAAAAGAGCTCTTTGGCTAGATAAGCCCTTCTTCCCATCTCACTTTTTGGTCAGGCTGTGACCACAGAAACATTGAGAAATGACATCCGTCTCAGGAGATGGGCTTCTGTCTTGGAGATGAGGTCTAAAACTGGGACTGGCGAGTGGTTGTATCTCTGCCTTTCCTAGCTGTGATCCCAACTGCTGTACCCCCCCCTCCTTCTCCTCTTTCTGACCACTCCTCATTTGTACAAATATTCCATCTAATTGTTTTTTGTTTAATTCAAGAGGCAGTCTTTGCACCAGTGTTAGGCTTGTTTCTACAGTCCCTATCTCTAAAGCAATAGCAAACTGTGCATCTTCTCCTGCTGACTTTGGCCAGCAGGGAATGAGATTGGCCCTTTCTCTGCCAGGGTACCACAGAGACACATGCTGGGGTAACCTGGGTATAATGCCAGGACTTCTGGAAATAAGGAAAGAATACTTTGGGTTGGATAATCTAAAGGGATGGTGGACAAAGGTTCAGGGCTGAAGTAAGTTTCAAGCAGCAGAATTTCCCATCTCGAGTTTAAGGTGATCAAGGGTATTCCTGCCACCAGAGTGCTTCTTTCTTCCCTCTTGTTTTCTACCAGTGCAAGCCCTGTAACCCACCTTGACAGCTTTTCCTTCTTTTTCTGCCAAGGCAGAGACATTTGGTGGGTGGGTGAGGGTCCTGAGGTGCTCTGGCCAAAGGTGCCATCTGAGTCTCCCGACTTGTGACCAAAATGTGGTCCAGGGGAATCTGTCTTCACCCACGGGCCTCCTCACTTTAGCAGGGAGATGTCATCAGCAAAGTCATCATGCTGATGACGCAGGCAGCGGAGGCAGCGCCACTGACACACCATGAGGCAGAGTGGCAGCATGAAGAGGGCGCAGATGGCAGCCATGACATAGGCTATGGTCATGAGGGTTGATTCATCTGTCTGTGGAATGTTGTAACCACAGTCTTCCATGTCTGGTGTGACAAAAGGTCCTTCCACCGCTGCCGTCCTGAACTCATCGTGCACTGGAGAAAGGACAGATGTGAATGGGTAGCTCTTGTTGTCACAGAGCAGCTACAAAAGACCTGCTGATAGTGACACCTTGAAACCAGCCTTGAAATTAGTTCTCCCTCCTGGAGTTATTTAGGAGCAGGTGGGAAAGTCAGGCCTGTCTCCCAGGCCCCTGCTTACCTATCCACTAGGAATGATACCCCAAAAGTAGTAGTTTTGGGTTGACCAAAAAGCTAGCCTCTTACACCCCTAGCACACTTGCCTACTCTATGAAATCTCACTACAGAACCCTGCCGCCGTTCTGAAGTGGCATTCAGCCTCACTGTGGGGCAGCTGACAGCCTACTGCCTGGCATTTAAAGCTTCCCAAGGTGTTGAGGCAGCTCTTGCTGCTCTGGCTTTCCAACAGCTTACCAGTCTAGGCAGGGAGTCACCAGGGGAGACAATCCAGAAAGCAACAACAACAAGAAATCGTCCATAAACACTGACACTAGTTTTCACACAACATTTTGATTTAGCTTGAGGTATCTGTTAACTCCCTCCCAAAGTACAGGTGTCCTAACTGCTGACAGAATATGGACAGTGATCCCACACCCTTGTTCCTGGTACTCTCACCATGGCAAGCGCTGACAGCAAAGCCAATTCGTTTCCGGGCCCGATCAAATACAACGTAGAAGCCCTCCATGATTACTGCTCCCATAACAGTGCCGGTGGATGACTGTGAGATGGCAAACTTATAACAGTCGTCCTGGGACGTGGCCACGTCTTCCACCGGCCGCAGGTATTGCTAGGGTAAGCAAGCAATCAAAGGTTAGAGGGTGTCTTCTTTGCTCTCTCCTTCCCCACATCATTGCCCTCTAGGTATCTCTGCACTTAGCTCTTCCCTCTGCCATCCCTGAGTGCTAAGGGGATGGGTTTTTCCAAGAACCTTTTGTCACTGGACACTCATTGGTTTTGTCTTCCAAGTATAAAACCATACCTGCTTTCCATCTCCCAATATGTACTTTGTCCTCTTCCTCTGATCCACCACCTCAGATTGGGGACATACCTGTGGAAGGATGGTGATGCGGAAGGACTGATTGGTGACTTCACCCATCAGGTAGAGTGAGATGACAGGGAAAATGTTCCAAGGGGTGGTGCCTGCTTGCCAGCATACCAGTTGCTCCCCTAGCCAAAACCCATCTGGAAACTTCTCTGTCTGTGTTAACAAGAAATGAATAACAGTGAGGAATCGGCCTCTCCCGCTGTCCTTCCTCTCCCACTCTCTTTCCTGTTCCATTTTCTTTCTTTCTTTTTTTTTTTTTTTAGAGAGAAAGAGAGAGAATTTTAATATTTATTGTTTAGTTTTCAGCGGACACAACATCTTTATTTGTATGTGGTGCTGAGGATCGAACCCGGGCCGCACGCATGCCAGGCGAGCGCGCTACTGCTTGAGCCACATCCCCAGACCCTCCTGTTCCATTTTCATAGGACATTGACTGGGCCCTTTATTTACTTCTCTAGGGAAATATCCAAGGTAGGGAAAGGTGAACTGCAACAAAGGTAATCGATTTGTACTGGAGGATTGTATCAAGAGCAACAGACCCATAAAGGAGAGCAGTTGTTAAGAGCTCTAAGTGGAAAGATCTAAATGAGACATCTTGACTCTTGCTGAGAAATGCAACTCTCACTGACTTCCTCTGAAACTGTGACATCTCTTATACCCTGTTCTTAGTCCACTGACCGAGGAGGCAGCTTTGATGGATTTGACTGCAGCTTCAAATACTTTCTTTGGCAGACGAAGGTTGGTGGTGCCACTGTCCACGATGCTCTTATCATAGTTGTACTGAGAAGGAGAGGAAAGGGTTAGAAGAGTTTTTGATGCCAGGCTCTGGGCAGAGTTGGAGAGGTGAGTTTGATTGCTTGGAGCCTTGCCTGGGTTGGCATCCTGGCTTTGCCACTTCATGTATGTACCTCCTTGAGCCAGTTACTTCTGTGCCTAAGTTTCCTCATCTCGAAAATGAGGATATTAACCTACCTCAGGAGTTATTGTAAAGATTAACTAAATTAACTCACTGAAAACTCTTAGAATGGTGCCCAGCAGACAGGAGGCATTCATTAAATGTTGTACAATTGCAGATATTCTCCAATCTTAAAAATAATTTTGTTTAGTGCTTTTTAGTTTGTCATAGTACTAATTTACCATACATAAGAATCTAGGGAAGGAGACCCAAATGGTTTACCTAGCATTTGTTGGGTACCGCCAGCCACTGAAGACACTTTCTTGACCTTCTCCATGATCTTTCGGAAAGTTGTTTTTACCTCTGTTTTGTAAGATGAGAAAACTGAAAACACTGAATAGTAACTAGCCTAAGGGCACATATCTAGTAAATGGCAGAACCGGATTCAGATCCAGGTCTTTGGCTCCAAAGCTGGACTCTTCTATTGTGGCATATGACACTGCCTTGCAAATGGTTTGCCTGAGATCATAAAGCTGGCCAGTTAGTGAAAAGAGTCCAGACAGGGACTAGGTCCATGCTCTTTTTATCACTAGACCATAAGCCCCATGGTCTCTGTAAAAGTGCTGTGCCCATCCCTGGCGCCTAACCTCAGGTCCTGCTCTGTGACCCTTAAGCTTCTGATTTCTAGACCTAGCCTTCAACCTCTCCACAGGTCCCCTACCTTTGCCTCCTTGTTCCAACCTCATAATGAAAAGCCACCCCTTACTGTGGCATCTATCCCATTCACCTCCCCTTGGCTGCCCCTTGGTTTCATTACCTCCTTGCAGTCCATTTTCAGATCTTGTCCATTGATTTCCACCCGCACAATGATCACCTCATAATACCACTCCCGCCGGATGGGAGTGTACCAGAGACTGCCCGTGTACAGTGAGTGGTCAATACCCCCAATGATCTAGGAGAAGAAGAGGCAGGTATCTGTGTCTCTGTCTGGAGGAAGAGCAAGCCACCCAGAAACCAAGCAATAAGATCAGGCATTCCTTGGGGGTGGCAAAGCCCTCCACAGATGACCTTTTTCATTTTTCTGCTTCTAATCAAATCATGCCCCAAAGCGATTTATAGTTTCTCAAGTGTGTTCAGGGAAAGAGACTTTTGCTATAAAGTTATTTAAACCTAAACTGGCAGAATAAATGTTGAATGGATTGATTATGTGCTTCAATTATGAGTTTTATCTTCTCTGCTTGTTGGAGAACTATTCACCATTGTCCTAATTAATTAATAAATAGCTTAAACTGCATGTATCTCTTGCTTTCTGATCATCAGACTGAGTAATCTGAATTCAATAGGTCTTATTTTCATTTCCTTTGAATATTCCTAATCCACATCCCAGGTTTACCATAGATGCCTTGACTTCTTTCAGGAATAATGCAAGGATGAAAATAATGGCTCTTGATTCTAAGTGGTAGAGATGACTGTATTGTAACCTAGAGGGAGGGGGGCAGATGGCACCTATCTCTCCCAGTGCCAGGACCTCCTCTCTGAGGACCTACTTACCATGCTCCCTCCAACTGAGGCCAGCACCTCAGACTGGTTGAGGGGGAAGCCAGTGCCACAGAGCTGCAGGGAGAAGAGGTTGGGGACGTGGGTTTGCTTCACCAAGGAGTCAAAGAAGGGCTCCAAGGAGTCATCGGGCTGTGGCAGAAAGAGACAAGGAGTGAATCCTCACATGCAAGACCCTAGTGAACAGAGGCCAGTTTTTGCCTATGCTGGAAGGCAAGAGCAAAAACTTGGGGATGTTCCTTGGGAAAGACAATGTTGAGGCACTGAGATTTGCCAGAGAGAGGGTAGCAAGAGACACTGGCAATGCAAACAGGAAATCATGGCCCACAGCCAGAGACTCTTTCATCCTTGTATGCCTGATCTACTTCAGATTTATGGGGGCCTCTCATTTTTAATGATCCTAGAGTTCACAGAAACCACAACCTATTCCTGTACCTATAAGAGCTGCTCTCACTATAGTTCTGCCCTCTGTATGGCTGAAATTAAGACGGCCACCCTACCCCTGCTCGGTAACACTTCACACTGACATGTATCTATCTTTGGGTCTATTCTTCTCCCTTCTTTCTCCTAATTCCTTTCCCACATGGCAGGTAGCATGCAACATGCAGACTCAGCGTGTAAGGTCAGGCCTTGTCCCTCTCACCCTGGCGATCTCCGCATAGGCCAGCCCCAGGATGCCCTCCCAGTTGGAGCCATTGATGAAGAACTTGTCTGATTCAGTGATGGCAGCAATGTTGGCACGGACAGTGACGTTGGGGCCGTGAGGGATGCTCACCAGGTCGGTACCCAGCTCTCCCTCCCACTTGCCCTGGGTGTAGGGCACATAAACGCCCTTCCGGAGGTCCCGGTATGTGCTGGACCTGTGGAAAGGAGGCAGAAATCTGTAGATGCAGAACCACAACAACTGGTATAGAGATCCACCATCAAACCTACTGCCAATGCCATCTTATCTCAGGGACATTCTAGAATCTGCTTTCAGGCTACTCTGTAGAATATCCCTAGACTCCTCACCTAGAAAAAAAAAAATTATAAAGTGATCTTATAAAAAGATGAGGGGAGGGGCTGGGGATGTGGCTCAAGTGGTAGTGCGCTCGCCTGGCATGCGTGCGGCCCGGGTTCGATCCTCAGCACCACATACAAACAAAGATGTTGTGTCCGCCAAAAAATAAAAATAAATAAATAAATATTTAAAAAATAAATAAATAAAAAGATGAGGGGAGCTATTGCCAGGGTGTGCTGTCCTGTCTCCATAGTGCATATTCCTGGATCTGGAGCTCAAGCCTGTGAAGAACAAGCTGGGCTTTGTGAATTGTGTCTGCTGTTGTGCTGCTGCTGCAGGGACAGTTAGCAGCATCTCTTTCTCCCCCTGATTCCAGCAGGCTCCCACAGAAAAGGAGCCATTGACTCACTTTCTGCCTTGGGACCCAGTGGTACCATCTATGTGATGGAGAAAATGCTAGGCAGGGTGAGTGTGGAAGCTTGTAGCAAGTTCTTTTAGAGAAAGGATTTGCACAAGCCTCTCAGCAGAGCTGCTAGGCATTGCACACCACCTGGTAAAGCATTCTCATCAACAAGCATGCCACTAGCCAGGGCTTGAGTGGGAGCAGTGATTGATTGGGATGAAGACCTGAATGCCCTTTCATTGCTCCTACCCCTGTCCCTCCCCAACTGTTTGTTTAGGTAGGGATGTTAAAAGGGAAGGGGGCCAAAGAAGGCAGGAACTGGCACCTGCCTGGAAGTCTAAGGTTAGGATGCAAGCTTCTACTTTCATCCTCACACAAGTGACTCAGATATTAGATGCCTTCTTGCCATTTCCTCATAATGCCTTATGTATGTATGTATGTATGTATGTATGTATGTATGTATGTATTTGTGGTGCTGGGAATCGAATCCAGGGTCTCATGCTTTGGAAAGCATGCTTGGAGGCTAGCACTCTACCACTAAGCCACATCCCTAGCCCATAATGCCTAAAGGGGGCCTCCAGATCTTTCTCCACTGCCTCTCTGACCTAAAAACTCACTCCAACCTCCCTTTGACCAGTGAGCTGGACCCAGCTGGTGGCACTCTGGGTGGTCCATGGAAAAGACATTGTAGCTTTCAGTTCCTGATATGGGTCCAGGCAGTGGGGGTTATGGAAAATTCTTTCTTTCATGTCCCTGAACCATGCAAAGCCACCTGCAGTGGTCCCTGGGTGAGAACACAGCAAAGGGAACTAACCACTGCAGACTTTCAGCCTAGCTTTAGCTGCTATTGTCAGAAAACTGTGAGCCACTGACAGCACTGGGTGAAGCCTCCCTCGCCTCCCTGCTGAGATGGCTTGGGGAGCCATGGAGCGTTCTGCCTCCTTCTCCTATAGGTGGCTGGCCTTCATATCACACTTTCCCTCAGTATGCCTCTTTAAACTTCCTCTTCACCCTTCTCCCCTAGCCACTGTTGCCTTCTTTTCCCTTCCCCTTCCCTGGCAGGAAGAAAGGATCTGAGGATCTTGTTTTTCTCTCTGCACCCCTCCCAACTCTCCTTGGGGAAGGTTCCTCCCCTGGGCTCTCCCCAGGACTCACAGCTGCCTTTGGTAGTATCGATGCAGGAAAGGGTGGGGGGCAGCCCCCACAGCAAAGTTGCTGCTGCCTGTGTCCACCAGGATGTTGAGCTGTCAGAGAAAGGGAAGAGAAATTCATTGTGGACAGATGGCTCTGGACTCAGCAGCCTTACGGCCCCTCACTCCACAGCCACATTTTCCTTTTGGGATGTCCAGGCTGAAGCATCCATGATGCAGGACCAGCCAGGCTGGCACCCACTGGTACCACAACCATAGACAGAACCTGGGGTCCATGGAACCTTCAATTTGGCTTCAGAAATGTTGTGTCTGCTTCTGTTTATAGAATTGACATTTTCAATGTAATGAGAGCCACACTGGATGTGTGTCTTCACTGTTCCCATTTCTATCATCAGATGGCCTCTGCTCTCAGAAGCCTGTCCCTTTCCTCCTTTTCTGATTCTCCCAGGAAGAAGCCTTGTGTACCCCACCCCCACCCCAGCTCTTAGAAAAGCTGTTCTAGGAGCTGGCACAGGTAAGGGTACTAGGAGGACACATTATTGCCTGTGTTTTTGTGACCCTGCCCTCCAGAATGTGGCTCCCCTTCTATCTCAGAATTTCATAAGAGGCCTATATGTCCTATTGTCAGAAATAATGGAGAACCAGGAGCCACATATGATGTCTTGGTGAAAACCTATCTTGTGCGGGCCCTGGTTTGGGCTGCATGGACACAGACAGCAGTCTTCTTGGTGCTCCTTGCTGTGCAGTTCCTAGCATTTCTTTTACCTTATTTTTTCCTCCTCCTCTTAAAACTGACTCCTCATAATTTTTTTTTAACCAGAGATTAACTCAGGGGCACTCGACCATTAAGCCACAACCCCAGCCCTATTTTGTATTTTATTTAGGGACAGGATTTCACTGAGTGGCTTAACATCTCACTTTTGCTGAGGCTGGCTTTGAACTCTTGATCCTCCTGAATGGCTGGGATTATAGGCATGTGCCACCGCAACGGCTCTCATAATTTTTTTTTTTCTGTTCTAAGAGGCTTGAGCCATTTTCTGTCCCTAGTGAAAGTTTAAAAACCAAAGAGCATGTTCTTTCTTTTGAAATCCAGAGAAAATCTGAACAAATCTTCTAGATTCATTCACTTATAGTTATTTTCATCACTGATTTTAGAAGTCACTTAACTAAACAATAAACTAATAGACCTCAGCTACCTTTACTATAGATAACACCTCATTCACCTTGTTAAGGATTAAATTGGTTTTATTTAGCCTTGTGTATCAAACTGATTGAAACCACCAGTCCCTTTATTTGAGCCTGCACAGGTGTCTACTGTGTGATCTTTTGACATCAGAGGACCAAAACTCCACTCTCAGATATGCTAACATCACTGTTTTCCATGCAGTCTTCAAGTTTGCACAGACCACCTATTCCTTCACTTTACTTACCTCCACACCTTTCCTGAACCTCAGACCACCCTTGTGTTAGTCAGCTTTCTGTTGCTATTACAAAATACCTGAGCAAATCAACTTAAAAGGTGGAAAGATTTATTTTGGCTCACGGTTTGAGAGATTTCAGTCCATGGTCACTTGGCCACCTTGCTTTGGGCCAGTGGCAGCATGATGTACGTGTTGGGAATGTTTGCAGAGGAGGTTGTTCATCTCACAGAGGACAGGAACCAAGACAGACAAGGAAGGGCCATGATCCAAATATCCCTTTCCAAGGCACATGCCCAGTGACCCAAGTTCTTTCTACTAATTAGGCCCCATCTCCTAAAGTTTCCACCATCTCCCAGAAACAACATGCTGAAGACCGAGATATTAACACATGGGCCTTTGTGGGAACATTCCAGATCCAAACTATAGCAACCCTGTTTCTTTATCCCACAAATATCCTTCAACTCTGTCACATTTCACTGCCTTGTGAATAAATTCTTGGTTGTTTTGTTTTTTGGTATTGGGATTGAACCCAGGGACACTTAACCACTGAGCCACATTCCCAGCCCTTTTTTTGTATTTTATTTAGAGACAGGGTCCTGCTGAGTTGCTTAGGGCCTCACTAAATTGCTGAGGCTGGCTTTGAACTTGCAATCCTCCTGCCTTAGCCTCTTGAGCTGCTGGGATTATAAGTGGGCACCACCACACCCAGTGTTAGCTCTTTTTATCTTTGATTTTGAGACAGGGTCTAACTAAATTGCTTAGGGCCTTGCTAAATTGCTAAGGCTGGCCTTGAACTTGGAATCCTCCTGTCTTAGCCTCCTGAGCTGCTGGGATTACAAGTGTGAATATACTCTTTCTCTTTGGCAAAATTCATCACTTCAGTGATTGACACACTGCATGAACAGCACAACGTCCCGGCTCAGTAACACTCTGATGGTCTGACCCCTCCTCAGTCAGACCAGAGCCATTTTTTGTGAGTATCTACTGTATTCTCATGAGGCTCCTGTCCTCCAAAAATGGTAATATGTAAATTGAATCCCATTCTTGCCTACTTTTCACGTTCAGCACCTCAGCTCCCCCCCCCACCGGCCCCCCCTTCCACCTTGGGGCCTTTATTTCTGTACCCTCTATCAATGCAGTGAAATCAGCTGAGTTCCGGTTTGGTGCAGGCTTTGACCTTGTCACCTTGAGCAGGTCACTTCTTCTCCAGCTTCAGTTTTGTCCTCTGCCAGATCCTCTCCTGGCTCCTCCCTGCTCTCTGTGGTGCCTCTGTGGCTGTGCTGACTGTACCCACCCCCAGTGCCTGCTTTGACTTCCTGGCCTCCAGCCTGTCCCCAAAGCCTGCTTCTCAGCCCTGTGCCCCTGCCTCCTTCCCAGCTCCACACCCCTGGCTGGTTTCCCATTTCCCTCCCTGCCTCCCCTCGGCTGCCTCTCCCCGTCCCTCTCTCTGGTCTCTGGGCAGCCACCAGCTCCAGCTGCTGTGCTTTCAGAGAAAATCAATAGAACTGGGAGGCTCAGCAGTTCAGATTTCAATCATCCAGGTTAATGATTTAAAAAAAGGCTTCTTCACCCCGCCTCCCCAGGACCTCCTTCAACTCTCAGCACCCGGGGTGGGCCTCATATCACAAGGCTCTCTGCAATTACTGGATCCCAAAGAGAAAGGGGTCTCTTTCCTACACAGTCCCTATAGTAGCCTCTGCAAGGTGGTGGCAAGGGGGGATTACCTGGAATGTGTGTGCCTGGCCTGCTCTAGCAAACATGGCTATTTCTTTACAGTGGAATGAAGGGTTTTTTTTTGTTGTTGTTGTTTTGTTTGTTTTTGGTTTTGATCCTGGGGATTGAACCTGAGGATGCTTTACCACTGAGCTACATCCCCAGCCCTTTTTATCTTTTATTTTGAGAGGTCTTGCTAAGTTGCTGAGGCTGGCCTCAAACTTGGGAACCTCCTGCCTCAGTGACCAGAATCTGTAGGATTACAAGCATGCGCCACCACTCCCAGCTGGAATGGAATTTTAGTGTGTGTGGTGGGGTGTGCTCCTTGTCTCCCTACTCCCCTCCTCTCCTCTCTCTGCAGATTACTGTGTTCCCCATCTTGAGGGTATCCTGATCCCCTTCCAGTCTCAGTCTTTCTATTCCTTCTAAGGAAATTCTTCCTCTTCTACCTCAAAGGGGGCCAAGCCCAGGAAGGAACACCTGCCACTCCTGTTCCCCTCACTCACCCCCATGCCAGGATTCCAGGCCCCCCACTGTTCGTTCTCTCTCTCTCTCTCTCTCTCTCTCCACACTCTTCAAAAAAAAAAAAAAAAAAAAAGGGAAACCATAATAAACAGTAGAGATTCCCTCTGGAGCAAATATCTGACTCTTTGCCCTTTGCATGTGGTCCTGCTTCTGAGAGAAGTCATTTCTGGTCCTGTCATTCAATGTGTCTAGCTGAGCCCTCTGGGCTCTCCCTGGAGACCTCTCTCCCTTCCCACTCCAGTGGAGGCCTTTTTCAGGGCAGGGATGTGGAGGTAAAGGAGCTGAGCCACCACACTCATGGACAGGGCCTCAGGGGCAGCCCAAGAGGGAAGTAAGTAGTGGGAGTTTCACCTTGTTATTCACAGGAGGGGGTTGTTAGATGGGACCATCCTCATCTCCACAGCCAGTCATACCAGCCTGCCTGCAGCTGCCCCAGCCCATCCTTCCCCTCAGCTGTCCCTCCTGGCTCAGCCTCACCTTAGCTCTGGAGCCAATTCCCTCCTCCTTTCTCAGGCACCTACCCTATTCATGATGTCTCTTCCCTCAGGTAGATTCAGCCATCATGTCACCCAACACCATCAATTCTGGATTCTTCTACTGGCCTTTACAAATGCTTGAGTCTCTTCATTAAAAAATAACAAAAAACTTCCTTAATCTCACACCCGCCTCCAGCTACCTTCTTTCTCCTCTCCTTTCATAAGCCAAGCTGTCTTCATTTCTTCACCTCCTACTCATTTCTCAACCCATTCTAAAACTGGGTCTGCCTCCAGCCTTCCACTACCAAACAGCCCTTACTACAATTACCAGTGATTTCATGTCACCAACACAAGAGAGTTTTCTCAAGTCAGTCCTCGTCTTACTCCTCAGGTCCTCTCTTCTCTCTCCTTCTCAGGCTCACATCCCAAGCTTGGGCTTCTTCCTCTCACACCATCCTCTCCCCGCTAAGCATCTTGCCTGGAACTCCAGGACCCCTAAGCTGCTTCTGCTGCTGCTGCTGCTGCTTCTTCTTCTTCTTTTTTATTTTTATTTTTTGGTACCAGAGATTGAACCCAGGGGTGCTTAACCATTAATTCACATCCCTAACCCTTTTAAAATATTTTATTTAGACACAGGGTCTTACTGAGTTGCTTAGGACCTCGCTAAGACTGGCTTTGAACTCTCCATCCTCCTGCCTCAGCCTCCTGACCCCCTAAGCTTCTAATGCTTACTCTTTCCTCCCTATTGAGTTCTGAATGCTCATACTGAAGTGTCTTAAGACACGTCAAAACCAGGATGTCCAGAGCTGACTTTACACAGTCCTTCCCATCTGGTCATCTTCCAGTGTTCCTGTATCAGTGAACGGCATTACCATCCATCTATTCTTTAAGGCAGTAACTCCAGAGACAACCTAATACCTCTTCTTCTTCACCTCTCTTTCCAGTGCACCAACCAGTC